ACTTCAAAGTAGTGGTCTGCTCAGTGAGATAAATTAATGTGTGAAATTTGAAATTGTGACCAACTTAAACACATATGTGTTATGTTATGCTCGTATCTTAAAAAAATCTGTGCTGGTAAAACTCAGCTTCAGTGACTTCTGAAGGAACTTAGCAATACAGATCAAATCCCTTTTTAATTGTAGAGAAAAGCCTAGGAAACTTACTAAAAAAGATTGCTTTGCCAGTAGCTTCTGCAGATTTCAGTAGAGCTTGTTGGACTGCATCCCAATGCTAGTGAAGAGGATATGTCGCAGATGATAAGCTCAAGTGCCCAAACGGCAATAGCCTAATCACATCGTAATGTGTATGGATAGACGCACATGGTAAGGGCAATCCCAGTGACCAGAAAGAGATTTGCAAAAGCATGCGCAGCCTGCAGTCCTTGCCACCGTAAATCTTCCTCAGTTTTGTAGGAGGAATGGGATGGAAACTGTGAAATCCATCAGCATATTCTCTAACAGCAAGGGGAATGTTATTTATAAAATTTAAGCAGAAGCTTAAGTAACGTTGCTGTCAGAGAAAATATCTGAATAGCTGTACTTGAGGTCACTGGGAACTGGCCATTATTAAAGAGCTGATCCTGAGCTCTTGCTGATCTTCATTCACAGGGTGTATGTAGAGTTCTTTGAAAGCCAGTGGAGCAGGGGAATCGGAGGAAGCTTCCCAGGATGTCCGTGAGCGCACAGGCAGGCCTTGAGCTGGGGGCAGAACTGGTGGTCAGAAGTCCTTTCCTCTCGCTGTGGTTGAGCAGGGACGGCAGCCTCCCTCTCTGGGCATTGCTTCTGGGGGCAGGGGGATTTGCTCTTGTGGGGGTTTCGTGCCCCCATTGAAAGCACAAGAAAGGAGACAAAATCATGAAGGAGAGCTGCTCCTTCATGGAACTATAAGCTAGTATTTTAACATCGTCGAGACTTAGCAGATGAGAGTGCCCTATTGCCTGGTTCGTATTTTAGTCACTGCAAAGGACAACGGGCAGCTTCAGGGTTTGTATTGAAGTAAGAATTGGAAGAACAGTGCTCAAGAGCAGTACTTACATGAGAATTTTTTTTTTATTGGCAAAACAAAAGCCAAAAATCTGCCGACAACTTTATTCAGCAGAAACACACTCTTTGGCATGTAAAGAATGCTCAGGCTTCTATTTTAACAGTATTATTGGCATGTGCCTCCTTCTTAAGATACTTCATGATAAAAACGTTTCATCAGGCAGTGTCTAGTCTGCTGTGTTCCACAGAAAAAGAAATAAACATAGATTAAATCATAGCCTAGGCAGCACTGATAGTAGGTGGAAGAAAAGATAGTATGCTGAAATAATTCTTGCCTTTCTAGAAATGAAACTAAATATTTTTGTTGTTAAAAATACTTAAAAATTGAAAAAATGGTATCACAAGTGTATTGTAAAAAAAGGACATAGAGCACGTTCATTTATAAAATACTTTGATTTTTAGGTGTAGGCAACACTGAATCTCACATCTCAGTGAAATCTTGGTGAAGAATCCTAATGATGGTAACACTGGCAAGGTGTTTATGTAAACCCACACAGAACAAGACTTGTTAGAACACAGTCTTACTGTTTTGTTATGCCAACAACAAGTATATATCAGCCTGTACTCCCCTGTGGCTTGGTGGAAACAATGCTATCAGATAAAGTTTTAATTACATCAAAGTCCCTTGTCTAGAAAATTTAGACTGCCGTTAATTTCACACCTTTCTTCTGGGAGATGATAATTGTTAAATACCAAAACAATTTTGTAAGTGAACGGTTTCCATGTTAAATTTGATTTTTCTGTTAGTGTTACACCTGTTTTATGTTTTCACTTAACAATTACTTGGGCTTAATTCAGTAATAGAAAAACCATGCTCTTTCCAATTACTGCTAATGTCAGTAATAAATATAACGTGGTTGTATAAGCAAAATAATTAGTCTGGCACTGCATGGCTTTGTAATGGTTGAAGACACTTCCCTGTATAGTGAGTTAATAATCAATCACAGCGACTTTTAAGAATATAATTAAAGAACCATCGGTTTGATCAGAAAGGCAGGAGATAAGTTTGAACAAATTATGTTGTGAGTGGAAAAAGTAACTCCATTAACAACACGAGCATTTCAGATGTCAAGACATTTACCTGGCCAAAATAATGTAGTAATGGAATGTATACAGTTGTCAAAGTCCGTGCTTTAAGTAATAGAAAAATACCCACTCTTCAACAGTCACAAAGAGTATAAAATTTTCAAATTAATACTTGAATCTGTAGAATAACAATAGGAAAATGGAATATACAGTGAATCATCCAGGTCTTGTCAACTAGAAGTAACATGAATAGTTACGGACAGGCACCGTGAAAATTAAGATTCAGGAATTGATTTAGTATGCCAAGCTGTCCTCTAATTTGTGTTGTTACTAAGGTGAAATATTTAGGTCTCAAGGATGAAGAGTTTTCCTGCTTTAATTGCTACAGTACAACTGACAGTTAATCTGGAAAAAACCCAAAGTGTTAATCCTCAGCGGAGCTTCTCACCTGGGTCTGCTTGATGTAAATTATATGCACTAATATGAGTCTGAAAAAATTTATGACAAAGTGGATATCTGCCCGTGGTGTAATGTGCAATAATCAAGAAAGATGAGGGAACGAATATTGGCTTTAGAAAAACTCAGTTCAGCTAGAAAAAAAGAGTGTTCTTCAATGGATAGTGTTTATGGCCTATCAAAGGACTAGATGGGAGAGGCAGTATCTAAAATGGATGTTAAACTTTCTTCAAAGTTATTAAAAGTTATTGAATTAATCAGTGGACTGTCTTTTAGCCCTTGGCTAGGTGTAGTTTTCATTGATAAAAATGGTGGCCTATATCTCCCTGAGAACACAGTGAAAATGATGCAGTTAATTTTGCTGATGCATGCACATGCCAAAGTCAATCTCAAAACAGAAGATTTAGGTTTGACTTCTGAATTTCCACATGGTAGAACTAGTCTGAAATGTGTTTTTACCTTGGGGAAACCGATGTGTGTTATTAGAGAAGAGTATCTCACAAGAATCCAAAACAATAGCCGAGGCTTGTTTTGGAAGACTTTGGTTTCACTTGTGTTTTTCCAAAATATTTGCATAATTTTAGAAATCCTGTAGTAGGTACAGTTAACACATCCTTAAAAGAGTTGTTGTATGGATTTTCAGTTTTTTAGATACTTGGTTTTGCTCATTGGATCACTATAATTATATCTGAAGAAAAAAGGGTTTCCTCATGTAAACTACACCAATAATAATAGGATTTGACAAAATAATTGTATTAGGCAATGTACAGCTGGTCAGTCCCCCAATAAGCACAACTTAATGCAGTACTGAGCCTCTTACAAACAGTGCTGGCAGCCTTGCTCTGAAGGGCAGTCAAGGATCAGGGAAGTTGTTTGCTTAGCATCTCTGCGAAAACAACCCCCCCTCCTTTTCACAGTGTTTTACCACAGATGTGTGGCAAAAACAATTCATTTGGGACCTTTCGATATCTTTTAGTAGGCACACAGAAATGGACCATGTGGGTCATCAAGTTCAGCTTCCTACAGTCATCATGAGGTAGAAATTTAGTTTAGAACTGTCGGACAAAAAAGCTTTTTTCAGAAATCATGGGTTGCTAAACCTTTACAATTACCTTACAGTAATCTAAAAAAAAAAAAAAAAAAAAATCCTCAAGTATTCTTCCTTCTTCCTCCAGGAGCAAATAGTCACTCACAGTGAGTTTTCTCTTTTATTTCGTAACTGCATTCAAACCTCATTTTTCTCCAACAGTTGAACTTGATTATGCCATAATAGTTTGGTTAGTAAAATTCACATTTTTTTTTCAATTCACATACCAATAAAACAATTATTGTCAGTACATCTGACGTGCTATACTTAAATTATGGAGTGGAGTGTAATATAAAACGTGATATCCCCTCATATGTATACAGAATTATATACTGTGTTCAGATGCAATGTTACTGTGACAATTGGTGACCCAAATTACTTTTACAGTCATTATGGGATACTGCATATACTGTGTGCTCTCAGAGGCCAATAAGCATAAATAAAATTCTATTGTGTAAACAGCTAGAAGTTTCCAATCTTGTCATTGTGTAATAAATTTTATATTGTTTTGGGCAAGGAAATAAAAAGAAATTTACTGAGGCTTAGGTTAGAATAATAAACCACCATGTTAAAAAAAAAAACATGAAAAACAATAATAGAGCATTGTTAAAGACTATATTAATGAAACAGACCTATTCTTTGAAAAATGTTATGTTGTGTAGTCTTTCTTTTGTGCCATCTAAAGTGTTCTCAAGAAACTTTTTTTTTCCTTTTAAGAAGCTTTTATTCAGAATATGGCTATCCTGTTATAAAACATTGTATCCCTGTTGGCTGATACTCCATCCCTAGCAAATATGCTTTGTTCTTCCACCCTTTTTCCAGACTAAAAATTGCTGAAGAACATCAGTCAGGCAGCAATACTCTTGTGGGTGGTTAAGTAGTAACCAGAACTCAAATATATTTCTAAATTTCATGTCTGTCCCTTTTTCTAAAATATATGCTGCTGATACAACTTTATAGCTTATATAAGATTCAGCTATTTAAAATGGCATTGCAAGTTTTTTAAATGTCTGAGTTATAGGCTATATAGGAAAAATGGGAATGTGAAAAATGGTATAACAGGTGTGGATAACATGGTGCAACTTTTATAATATTTACAGTTGTCTGTAAGATTTTTATTTTTTTTCCTGGCAAGTCCTGATAAATAGAAATTTAAACAGAATTTCAAAAAAGTCATATATGTCATCTGTATTCATTCAAGATATAACTGATTGCAAATATTAGGTAGTTGTGTAACTATTCCATGTTATTTTGTGATTTTGGGGTAGAATATTGTAGACTTACTAAATGGAATAGAGACATTCATGAAGAAACTGCCGAATTAAACTCCATCCCTTTTTGCTTCCAGCAATTACTTGTCGCAGACAAGACGGAGGACAGGCTGACATCAGTGAGTGCCTTAAATACTCTGGCCCATTACCATCCTTAACACAGACGTGCCAGATTCCCTGCCAAGAAGACTGTCAGTTTACGAACTGGTCAAAGTTTTCTTCCTGTAATGGGGACTGTGGAGGAGTCAGGACAAGAAAACGCACTCTTGTCGGTAAGAGTAACAAAAGAAAAATAATCCCTCTTTTATTAATTATTGCTTCTGTTTTGATTAAAACCTGCATTCTTCTGAGGTTTCTGTACAACAAGCAAGCAACGTTTGTCATCGTGGCAGAAAGCAGACCTAATGTCACCGTCATGCTCTATATACTGTTGGTGGAACAAAAAATAACCTCTCAAGAGAACAAACTCCTGCCATATGTGTCAGAATCTTGATGATGGGGAAGTGGCTAGAGAGAAGATGGGAGAACAGAGGAGGCAAGGGTTTCTTCTAAACGGAGAGCACGTAGTGAACTGCAGAGCAGATCATTTCTTTCTCTGGCAGGCAAGTCAGCATTAGCTGTAGTTCCAGGGAAGTTAAAATGTAAAGCAGCAGCAGCAGCTAACAGTCTGATCCAGTCTGAAGAAATAAAATAAAAAAATATTTGCCCTCATTTTTGTTGAACCTTTGTTATCTTTTCACCAAAAGGGGTGCAATTCTTTGCTATTTAAAAGGTTTCATACCATGTGTCATGAATGAGTGGTTTAGGACACTTAAAGAATCATCGCCAAAGATATTAGAAAGAAAACGGTTTTAGAATGAATACGTAAAAAGTGCAACTTAACAGAGTTCGATGGAAAGGTTCATTCACTTATTCAACATGGAAGAAGCATGCAAAGGGGAAATCAAATTAGAAATGCGTTAGAATGATTTACACGTGGCTTGGGGGAAATGATTTACACAAGGTCAGGGAAAAGTCAGAATCAGTTAGTGTGATTTATATGGGGATTAGGGAA